TGTGTGTCTGTGTGAGAAAGAGAGTGTGAGAGAAAGACGGCCAGCCAGACGAACAAGGGAAACACTGGCGGCCCTGCCAACATGATGACAGAATGTGCCATGTGTAGTAGCGACACTTAGTGTGTGTCTGTGTGCGTGCGCGCGCGTGTGTATGAACTACGAGTCTGCTGGGCAGCCAGGTCAACCGACAGACCGATCACCATGGCAACAGTGCCACACTCTGCCCCTGTGTGTCAAGCTGTAAATATGGATGTCTTTGGAACCAGAGAACAACTGGACAGTGTCAGGCCCAGGTGTCGTCCTGTCGTCCAAATGCTAACCGCCTTGCTAACTCGTATGCAAGAGAATTAAAACCTTAGGAGTTTAGATACCCAACCATCCAAAACAATGGATAGTGCACAAGAGCAGTGAAGAAGAGCGCACAGGCTGGAGTCAGGGGATTCCGGACAGAAGAGCAAGAGCAAGAGTGAAAGGGAAGGTTTGAAGAAGGTAGTGAGACTCGCTATGATGGATGGTTTGAGATGGTGGCAATGACAAAAAGACATGAGGCCGAGCTGGAGGTGACACAGCTGAAGATGCTACGTTTTTGGAGACAAAGACAAGGTTGAGATGGTTTGTATTTTAAACTTTATTTATATAGATAGCCCCATTGACACCCAATGTCTCATTTACAGGAGTGACCTGTTCCTCTTAAAGATGCAATATTACCTTATCTGGTCTGCAACTATGTTCTATTCATCACGAGTATGTGTCATAGGAAAGGCGTCAAGATCGTTTTAGTGTCATTCAGCTGTTTTGATTCCTCTCACGGGTCCCGTCAGCAGTGACAAATAGATTTAGATGAATATTATTATTGCACACCAGCCTACCTTCCCAGCACCAAACAGCACACACACAGACTTAGTTTATAGTTATTATAAATCATTGTAAACAGCTCAAGAGGACATTTCTTTACCCAAACAAGAAGTGGTGGAGACCAAAAAGGAAAAAATAGAGGGATTTACATTGGTGGATGTGAGGATCATTAGCTGTTCGCTAGCAGCACTAATAAGGTAATGATGACATATTTGCGTTTACAGTTTTCCCCTCCAAGGTAATTAATGCTGTTTTAACTGTTTAAGCTGCTTCTTCGTGTTGATTCAGCCACACCATGTAATCAGCAAAGCAGCTCTGCCTGTAATACTTGCGATTAAAATGGGGTTTCATTTTAATCCATGTAAAGCCTGGTATTTTTTTTTTTGTATTAAAATGTGGAACGTAAACCAGTATCCACAGCGTAAGCTTGCATTGCTGCATGTACATGAAAAATGCAGCCTGTGTATGTAATGATGTTAGGTTTTTCAAATGAAGCATTAAAAAAGTCAACATACAGCGCTGGTGGCACGTTGTGGCAAACACTCAGCACCGAGAGCTTCATCACAGTCGCTTCTGCCAGTTAAAAGACGCTGGGGACTAAAACAATATTTCTTTGCGGTCGTTTTAGCCGCACGCCTCTCTCATGTGAATCCATGCTAATGCACAACCTCTGCGTCAGCCCATGCATTAAACATGGAGCAGCTGAGGGGGGATATGTTGCAGTACCAAATGTTTTACTATTAAAAATCACCCTGATAAAAAAAAAACATGATGGGAAATGCAAACTGCTGGTATCACATGAGATCCCAGTTCTTGAGAGAAAAATTACATAGGAAAAGCAGAACAAGACAGATTATGCAGATGTGGTCTCAGCAGACTTGTTGGGGTTAAAGGTCAAGGAAATGCTGTTAACCGCCTAACAGGGCCAGAAAAACCTGCGAAGGATACAACCCAGTGTTAAAATAAGCTCCTTTATCATACATTGATCTTCATGTTCCTCTTTTATAGTTCAGTAAATGTATTTAGTAATTTACACCAAGTTCAACATGAGCAATTATTAACCTAGAGACAGAAGCTCTGAACAGCATGTACAACCAACAAAAAAGAGGCGCCAGCTGCAGGATGGTGAGGTCTGGTGACAGCATACACTCTAAATCAATGGGATTTATATATATGAAAGTACATTTGGGCACAAACCCACACAGACTACTTCAGCGTATATCATGCTAATGATTGCTGATCCAGTGCCCTGGTTGGTAATACAAACAGCCCCAACTCAACTGAGACTCTACTAATGTTCATCCTTTTATCGGGGACGATCGTGGCTCAAGAGTTGGGAGTTCGCCTTGTAATTGGAAGGTTGCCGGTTCGAGCCCCGGCTTGGACAATCTCGGTCGTTGTGTCCTTGGGCAAGACACTTCACCCGTTGCCTCCCGGTGGCGCCAGTGTCCGGCAGCCTCGCCTCTGTCAGTGCGCCCCAGGGTGGCTGTGGCTACAATGTAGCTGCCATCACCAGTGTGTGAATGGGTGGATGACTGGATATGTAAAGCGCTTTGGGGTCCTTAGGGACTGGTAAAGCGCTATATAAATACAGGCCATTTACCATTTTAAACCAAGCACACAGCTTTTAGGTTAGTCTCTTTATTATCCATCAAAAAATTTGAAATGTCATGATCCAGTTAAATTTTAGAATTGTCTTCTTCTTTCCGTTGTTCTCTTTAGGGGTCACACCAGCACCTCACCCTGTCTGCAGCATCCTCCTCTGTCACACCAGCCCTCTGCAGGTCGTCTTTCACTACATCCACGAATCTTCTCTGTGGTCTTTCCTGCCTGGCAGCTTCAACATCCTTTGTCCAGTATGTCCGCTATCCCTTCTCTGCATGTGTCAAAACCATTTCATCCTTGTGTTTCTAACTTTGATTTTTATATAATTTAAATGGACACAAAGATTTATATTAAAATATCCTTTTAATTACAATGTGCTTTTATTGTTCCTTTGTTTTTTGTTTTTGCATTATTTCAATACAGTGAGGTAATGCATCTTCCACATACTATATTTATGTTGTTCAAAACAGATCTATATACCTAATAAGGATAAACACACACTAAACATATATTTTGTAGTATGACTAAAAGCACACTCTCATTTATCCCCCCCGTCCCCCTGCAGTCACATGATCCTTTCATTGACTTGACTTGTTATTTTGCATTGCTCCAGCAGAGGGAGCTGCTCATGCATTAACAACACTCAGTGTGGGCGCACGTGTATTACCCTCAGAGTGAATTCAAACCAATGACTCCATTCATTCATTCACTTATTGTAAATAAGCCGCTGCCATTTGTGGCTAAAGTCCGTCATTTCCAAGAGAGACCTGGCAGCAAAAGTCAAGTGTTATTTGCCTAGAAAATGTAAAAGGTAAGAAGGTGACAGATAAAGGAAGGAGTCTAAGTTTTCCTTATTGGAAATCAGCTCCTACTACAAAATAATTCCTGTTAATCTGACTGAGAGGTGTGGTCACTGATTAGAAGAAATGGCGTGAGCAAGATTTCAAGGAAAGGGAAAAAACACGAGAGGGAGAGCGAGAAACACACCGAGAGGTAGACAAACAGGTGTCTGGTATCACTTTTGGTGGAGACTCGGCAGTATTGACTGATGGTAGTTGCGGTTTCACTTTGCGCAATGGTAGCTGTTGTGGGGGTTTGGGGTCCCATCCACTGAGCTAAACAAAGCAAACCATTTCCTGCCTTATTCGTAAATAACAATATTGCGATTTTAGTGCAGATTTTTTTAATCCATTTTTCACAGTAACATGTCAGTTTTATTAAAGCCATTTTGTAACAGATGTGTTATAACAAATTTCAGCTGTTGTTCACACCAGGATTAAAACTGCAGGTGTGTTGTGCCATCTCATATACACACTCGGCCTGTTTTCCACTCTGCTCCTACCACTCCCGTCATCCTTGCTGAACAGATATTGCTGATTAGCCGACTTTACAACTTGATAACTCAGTTTGAATGAGTCAGACCTTCCAAATAAGTGGCTTTGCAAGTTTCGTTTAAATAAACCTTAACATGGCAGTAACTGTGGTGAAACTAATGTAAAATACACCAAACAAGCATTTAAGTGGTTGTGCAGAAACTTGGGTAAAATTTGTATTAAAGGTTCAACAAATAAATGATAAACCATGTTAAATAAGTTGTGTTAAATAAACAATAAAGAAATAAACAATATAAAACTGTCATAAAAATGTAAATGTATTACTGACCCATTTAATAAAGGCCTGTTCTTCACGTACTTTACAGCAGTGTACGTAATCATCTCTCAAATCAAGGACCTTGTAAACAAAATCACAGGAGCAGCAATTCCCCCCCCCCCCCCCTTTTTTTTTTATCTCAGAAGCCTCATTGTGAGTCACATAACCCTGAAAATCACGCAACAGCCTCATCATTGATGCATCACTTATACACTGGAAGTTGTAAATAGCTTTGTTTGCTAATAGGAATGTGAATGACATTTGTGCTATCAAGCTGATCTTATGCCTCTGGGCAGAGTAAGAGCAAACACAATGACTACCTGTATAATAATGGTGTCAACAACCTGTTGACGGAAAACCCCTGTGGAAAAAAAAAACCCAGTTTCCTTTCTGTGCATGCGGTGTTGTGATTAATTGTTTCATACAAAGCCAGCAGGACTTCCTTAAGGAAGAAGAGGGAGGAAAGTGGGGAGGTAAACGCAGCTATGCAGGCACTCTCAGCCAGATGATATTTAAACAGTACATGTAGGAAAGACAAAAAAAAGAAAAGAATCAGAGAGAATTGCCCTCTTTTCCCTTGATGGGTAAAATTCAGAGCCTGTCAGGGGAAATTAAACTCCTCATGTCCTTGAACACAACTAAATCTCATCAGCAGAGCAGATTAGAAATTTCAGGCTATGAAGTCATTAACGGCAGCAGGTACACTGCATGTGTAAATCTGCTTACTTTAATACTGTGACCCAGCTGCTGTTAGTTTACCTTTTTGTGTTATTGTAGTAATCTAAACAGGAGATAAGAGGTAGTGGAAAGAGGAGGAGGGGAGAAGAAAAGACGAATGCACTGATGTCAGTCCGTCCCACTTCTATTCAAGTACAAATGCCTGCATACCAGCACTGCTGACGACTGATCTGATCCCACACACACACACAAAGGCGCTCTGTGACGGCCTGTCGCGTCACACGCTCATCATAGCGCTCACTCACACAGGCACTGAAAGTCAGACCGGAGCTGGGAGATGCTACGAGCTGGCAGCTGCTGAGTAAGTCCACTTTCCCTCCTCTGCACTCCTCTTTCATTCTCTGCCTGCTTTTCTTGCTTGATTGCTATTCTCCGGCCCGTCTAAGTTCATTTATCTCTCACACTCTGCCCCGCCGCTGTGAAATGGCCAGTGTTTTCTCACACTGAGAGACCTTTCAAACTTTTCTCTCAGTATGCCGTGCACATGCCTTTCTGCTTTTCTTTCTTTCTTCTCGGTGTATGTGTAGCGGCAGAGAGGCAAACCCCGGGCTTATTTGCATGCTGGCGCAGAGCCAGAGCCCAATGCTTTACCTTTACAGAAGAATAACAGAGCCGCGAGTTTGCTAATTTTGTCCCTTTCTGTGATATTATTTCTCTAAAGAGTCTGCAAGGGCTGTTATTGTCTTTGAGAAATCTGGACGCACTCACGTCTCAGTCTGAATGCTTCTCTTTTCCCAAATTCACACAGTTGATTGTGGGAGCTGTGGTGCAGGTGTAACGCTGTTCATGAATAGAGAGCTGAAGCAATTTGCCACAGAGCTGAATGTTTGCTATGAAGTCTTCGAGTCAGGTTGGGTTTATTTGCATTGCTCCCAATCACAATCTGAAAGGGCTTTAGCAGCCCCCATTCAATGTACAGAGTGTAGGCGTTCACATAGGCAAGAACATGGATCACAAAGACATCACAGCAAGGGAAAAAAACTACTGACAGATATTGAACGAAGGGACACTAGTTCTACAACTGACACCAAAACTAAGCTGCTCGGTTTAGTGCGATTTGGTGACCTGTGGGTAGCAGGGCCAGACCAAATTGACTGTTTTCTACTGTTTTGAGTTCCCAGGCTAACAAAAATGTACAGGTGCAGAATATCCTGGTTTCACTGCTTCATTTAAGCTGAATTATTCCGCTCTTGTTCAGGATTTAGCAGAAGTGGGCAGATCAATCCAAATATCGATAGTAATGATGCTAACTCTGGTATTGGAAATGAATCAATACTTGGCTGATAGGATCGATACTTTGTTTCTGTCCTCTAAGTACAGTATGAAGCTCACTGAACTAATTATTGTGGACGGTATAAATCACAGTGAATTAGGGTCGTTAAAATGTGTTCAGAATTTGCAAACCGCCCATGATTCATCTCATAAATCATGACACACTGGACACACTGCTCTAGCCTACATGAGCTGCTTTTGCAGGTTTTTTAGTATCAGTATGCGTGCTGATATATGCACCTCTTGCCCTGTATCGGATCAGTACTAAAATTTGCACTACTGAGCACCACTAGGATTTAGAATCACTAAATGGGCCCACCTGTGAAGCACATGTGGCCACACCTAACCTCAAAGGAAACTTTTATCAGTGACCATAACACTGGATCGCTCTCAAACGCTCATTGGTCAGCTGTTATCAGCCACACAAATCCTATTGGCTCTCACTCAGCAAAACATTAGCCCACATATTTTAAAAACTGCACAAGGTTGTTTTCTGGGATTTAGACTCTCAGGGCTTCCTGATTAATTTATAACTAACTGTGTTGACATGCATGTTGATAAGGTTCTGAAAAAACGAGACTGTGTGTGTGTGTGTGTAATATTCAACTCTTTATCCCTGGGTCTGTTACTCACAGATAGCATAGAGTCATTAGCACCCCACCCTGTCTATGTCTGTGTGTGTGAGTGTGTTGACATACTGAAGCTGCCCCTATTTGCCCATCAGTGTTTGGAAGCACAGCAGTATTCTCACTGCAACACTCACACACACACACACACATTACACTTGGCATTGTTACTTATTTGCTTAGGGCCTATTGTGTTCTGCCAGCCAGAGCTGCATTGAGTGAAAGGGAACAAAACAATAAAGTAGGTTTAATCTCTCTCTCTCACTCTCTCTTTAAAGCCCACAACAGAAGCATTTACTGCCCAGTTGATCCGGACACTCTACCCTGCACCTCCGCCTCCAGAAAGAGCCTGCACACTCCTGCTGCAGTCCAGAGAAACAGCACTTGACAAACAACACCGAACTGACCTCCAACTGCCAGGACTGTACCTGATCCCATATCCTTCAAAGAAAAGGGCAACCTGACTCTGAGCACAGCGGGAAAAGAAGCAATCACACCCCACTGCTGAAACACGACCCAGTGGACCGAGAGACAGAGGGGCTGACAGTCGTGTGTGGTGCCTGGGAAAAGAGGCAGGATGCTGGCTCAAATCCTTCAAGATATGTGGGTGGAACCTGAGGTTCTAGAGGCCCTCAGTGAGGAGCAGAAGAGGATCCTCTTCCTCAAGATGAGAGAGGAGCAGGTACGCCGCTGGAAAGAGCGCGAGGAGAAGGAGGAGAGGGAAAGAGGACACAACAGGAACACCACGTCAAAGAAAGGTACAGCACTGGTTATTCTGTAGTGGGTAAACTTGTTCAGCTTACCATACAGGTCACACTTGTATAAATTCCAGTAAGGTAACAGCCTTAAACACTCATGAAACAACATTGTTTGGAAGAGGAAGGACCGAGGTTTCTGGTAAACCTGGCTCCCATTTTTACATAACATCATTAGACATGAGGTTAATACCGTCCGGTCTGATATCACCAGATTTCTTTACAGGAACAGCAGGTGTCACAACTCTTTCGACAGGTTAAGTAGGCGGAAATCATTTAGGTAAATGAGAGAGAAAAGCTGCTGGTTCACTAAAGACTAAAGCTACCTGTAAAAAGGTGTAATTGATTGAAAAATAAAAACCCAGAAAATGAAACGTTGTGGAAACATTATGGTTTATTTATCAGGCTAACTGAAATATGTTATGATACAGGACCTGTATTATTTCTAGTCTTGTTTACATTTGTCAGTACAGCAAGCATTCAAGGTTTTGTTTGCTATTTAAGTCAGCTATTTTCTTAAAGTAAAGGTTGTAATCTGTGTTTTGGTTAGCCTATTTATTATACACTTGTATAACTTCTTGCTAATATAACTTCTTTTGTATGCCACAGAATACAAAAGCAAAAATTAAAATTAATAAAACAAAACTAAAATGAAACATGTTTAACAAATAAAAGCTAAGCTCAAAGCTAGCTTAAAGCAAAAACTGAATTGAAAACAAAATAAAAACTAGCTAGCTCTCAGCTAGCTGACAGGCCTGAATCTTGAAATTTATTTTACAATAAATTTATATGGATACATTTATTGTAAATGTGAATATTATATAGATAGTAATAGTAAGACTAGAAATAGGTGAAAGAGCTAGCTTAGCTTTTCCTCTCTTTTTTTGTAACTGTCCTTAACAATGTTTATCTTGCTAATTTAAGATGCACAAATATAAAGTGCAAATAAAGAAATACAATGAAAAAAATACATAAGTTGCAGCTTCACAAAGTTTCTGTCCCAGCTTTATCATGGTTGGCTAACAACAGCAGCAACAGTTAGCTTTTCTCACATTTTCTTGTCTGTATACTAAGCTAACCTAGCAAGCTGCTGGCACTAGCTTCATTTAGCTGTTTATTGTTATTTTCTTATAATAGTGCTGTAACTCATTACTTTGTCTTATACAATGAATATGTAGCTTGCAAAGAAGAAGAACTTTGACAACCCGCTCATCCCAAATTGAAAATTATTTTTTATTAAGTTTTCATTTTAGATTGCTTTAAATATTTAATAAAGCCCTGGGCAGTATAACCATAACATGTTAAGAGAAAACACCATGTTTTTCCTGTAAATATCGTTCACTGCAAATCACTTCATGCTCATCATGTTTAATTTAGTTTGTTGCTTGCTGCCAACTCCTTTGGGGGGCTCCGAAAATACAGATTTTAGAAAATGGGGCACCAGAGTTCATTTACACCTACTTGAAAACTTCTAAATTCTCAGTACACGTGAGCAGTGAAGCACGAGTTTTGTACAAAACCTTCTCTGGTTACCAATCTGACTAATGTGTTCAGATTACGCCCAAAGAAATCCAGTTTGACCATCCCTGTTGTTCTCTCTTACTCATTTCATCCAGCCTTCCTCTAATTAAGGTGTTATTCTAACTCACTGAGACCCTACCGCCTCAGCCGGTTCACCTGGACAATGGATGTGTGTGTGTGAGCATGTGTGGGTTTGATGGACAGATCTCTCACAGCCAGCTGAATCATTCTGTTGGCTGAAAGCTGAATAAGATCGAGGAGGTCCTGTGGTTCTGGGGCGTCACCATGCTTTAAAGCACATATTAAGTTCCCATCTTTGTCCACCCAATCTCTGCCATGTCACCTGAGAGGTGACGGAGTGTGTGCCGTTTGCACATTGCACTCCATACAATCCTTCTGCCATCTTTCTGTCTTTGTTCACTGTTCTGTGGATGGGAAAAAACAAGCCTTTACATGTGGTGTGCAAACAGGTCTTTAAATACAAATGCATGATTAAACCTGCACCTATGTGTGAAGATTTCTATTATGTGCTGCATTTCTGGTTAATTTGCGGGTGTGGTGGTAATAAAGACAGGCACCGCAGGTCTGTAAAGTCATGGCAGGTGATCGACACTCAGCGAGGTGGCTATAAATGTGAATACTGAAGGTGTGTTTTTTTTTTTTTTCTGACATCACAGGTACCATTATGTGCTATGTCACTGCATGCGTAGCACACAAGCCAATTGTCTAAAAATAAGTAGCTGCCATTATTAGCTGGAAATCTGTAAATGTTCACTGGTCCCGCTGGGGGAATTTCAACACTGACAATTTGAATTTTAAAGCCACGCCCCAATCTGTGACATCACGGCAGGTTTTTGGTCTTTATCAGGTACTCTACTGTCATGGAAAAACAATCAGCAGCAGTCAGGATGGGGGTTTATTTTTGAATATAACGTCATAATGAGGCAATGGCTGAAAACACCCAGTTTCCAGGATGTGAACGCAACATTATAAAATTCATTGATTCATAACTGTGAGTGATTTCATGATTATTGTAACATTAGACACTTAAATAAAGGTTTTAGCATTACAACATGGTCTTAAAGTGAAACTTAAAGGGGACATTTAAGTAAACTCTTACTGAAGGTGAGAAGGTAGTTTTGCTGTAGGAGAGAATTAAATAATTCCAGGGGGGAAACGGACACAGAAAACACAAACTGGGTTAAAAATGTACTAAGGACAAATCAGCAACAAGCAAAGTGTTAGAGGGTAAGTCTGTTCCGGGAGTGAGGCTTCCCAACACCAACACTTATAGGACAGCACCACCTTCTGGCTGATTGCCACAATAACAGTTTGTTAGACGACTTCATTCTAAATGCTGCTGAGCATTTCTCTCCGAGTGTATTAAGGATATATTTTATGTTGTATGCTTCATATACATTTTGTTTTCCTCTTTTATTTTCTCTCCAGCTTCCAGTAAACATGTGAGGTGGCTCCTCGGGCGGGATGGTGACGTGAGCGTCAGTATAATCGGTGAGGTGGACGAACTGAGATCCTCCAGACTCCTCCAGAACCTCATGAACAACAGGTAGAAACACATAGTGTGTTTTTCCCCCAAAAAATATCTTTGACAAGTCGACTCAAAGAAATCCAAAGGATGATAAGCTCTTATCTTATCACAGTAAAGAACAATAACCTATTTTCAATAGATCTGAATTAATGTTGCTCTGCATCGTGTTTTTAACGTAGCACATAACATATAGATTCTCAATTATGTTTGCGTAGATCAACAGTGAACTAAATACTTTCAGTCAGCCGGACAGTTCCTTGCACCAACATGATTATAGAAGTTACTAGTGACATGGCTGACTGGTGGATTCATTTAAAGGCTGTTATCGGAGGGACTAAAACGGATGTCTTTGTCTTTCAGATTTCAGTCTGATAACATGAATGCCATCCAGAGAGTGGACTTGCTTCCAGGGAGTGAGGACCAGCAGCTTAACCTTAAAGAAGACATCCAGCTACCCATCACACATGTAAGTTCCCATGTTTGAAATGTGTTTGAAAGTGCGACGACCTGCGTGTGTGTTAGAGTTTATAACATCGAGTCGTTTCGGTCTTACGCGCAGGATGACACGGCTTCACCGAATGACCAGTCATCCGAGGAAGACATGGACTCGTGCAGCGCTGATGACGACCCGAAGGACACGGCCGAGGACAGCGACAGCGAATCAGGCAGCGGCTCTGACAACCTCAGCGACTGGACTCCGCTCTACAAGCCCCATTTTAGTAGTCATGGCAACCAGCCGCTCAGAGCCCCGCTGGCGGACACAGAGAAGACTGGCCCCCAGGACAGAGGTGAGAAGGGAGGAGAGGATAGAGGAGGGATCTATGTATGCTAGTGTTAAAAGTGTATGATAATCACCAACTCTAACTGCTTATAAGTTCAGGTTAATCGATATAAAGTGGGTCTGAATACAAAATTGTAGCTATTTATTAGAACAGCTCATAGAAACAATAAACTCAAAGAATCAATCGGCACAGATGGCTCATGGTCAAAAGTGTACAAAAGTACAGGAGCAGTACAGACGCGCACTATTTTACTGTGAGCTATGAAAAACTGAACTATCAGGGATCATTATGCAGGCCTGTTCAGTGTTACAGTACATATTGATTACTGCATGACTCACATTTATTAAGCTGATTATTGTTTTAAAGGAACAGTTCATGTGAACATAACACAACTGTGCTGGATAGCTTGTGTGTGGGTTGCCAGGTTTTGTTGATGTGTAGTAATCACATGTCCAAAACCTTTTTATTATCATACATCGTCACAACCGTCAGGCCCAGACAGTGCTTGCCTGTGAGCAGCTTCATGTAGGAACTATTTTCTTTCAACTGTCTACATCCACCATCAGCTAGCAACATTATGGGCACCATTAATATTTTCAACCTGTGATGCTGCGTGAACCTCTCCTCACGGCGGGGTGTAGTTCAGTGGAAAGGAATGATATCTGTCACGATATCTGGCACGTGCCATTTTAATCTACTGTAGTTAAACTGTTAGCAGTCGGACGTACCGCCCACGGGACATTGGATGGTTTAGGGGACTAATAGGACTGCTAAGGGGTTAAGAGAATGACAAACATCTCTAAAACTAGCAACTCACAGCATAACGTGTCTGTTTGATATTTACGTATTAGCTTATCCTTGGGAAAGAGGTGCCACCTCAGCTGTATCCCAGAACATGTCATTGATTGCATCCTGTGCTTCTTTTCTTAGAAACCGCGTGCTACAAAGAGAAGCCAGAGGGCAGAGGTCGCGTGGAGCAGCTCAGGAAGAAATTCGCAGATAATCATCACAACACATCAACTGCCTCCAAGAAACCACCCATACCAGCCAAACCTGCTCATCTGCAGAAGTGAAGCGCACCACCGACCCATTAAGACTCCACGTGTATCTCTGCTACACATGACCCCGAAGAGCCTACTCTATTGAGTGTAATGAGCACTCTGTTGTACAGCAGCAGCTCAGGCTGAGGCTGCACGTACTGAAAGAAAAGGATTCTGACTTGAACCCGAACAGTGAACAAAAGTCCACTTTATTAGACCTTATTTCAAGGTCCGAGCTACAGAAAGAGAAACATCTGGGGGTGAAGTGAGAGAAAGACTTGAAAGCTTTTGGGCTGAAGTCAACCTGAATGATAAAACTAAGCAGCTTTGATGTTGAGTTGAAATTCGAGCACAGATACGCTCACATGGCGTCTGTGATTGACAGGTCGACACAGAGCGTGGTGTCCAGAGAGACGCACGTGAACACAGACTATTGACTGCAGGTGAAAAACACTGTGGTTTTATTACTGACATGTCATAAGCAGGAAAAACTGATAAATCATCTGCATTTTTTTCTTCACTGATCCAAAGGTGGGAGCTATGTTAAATGTAGTCCATGTACCGTATTACTATAATGTTTTTAACCGTGTTGATTGCTTGTTGGCAAAATTCTCCTTCAGCGTTTTAGCTGGCGTAAGAGTTTTGGGTTTAAAAGAAAACAACCAAATTCATGTAAAATTATTAACAGGGTCAGTATACTCAGTGTACTTTCTACTGTCCCTGACATTCACTGACAGACACGGACCTGCTCAGGAGGCCTTTCAGGTTTGGTGTCTTGCTCAAGAACAATTTATCCAGATGTATAAGATAATATTTGGAATATGTGGCAGCCTACAGTGCCTTTTTTTTCTGTCAGAGCAAATGTTACCAATGGAGTAATGGCCACTCCAGCACACTCGACTTGAAAAGAAACTGTACCTATCAGATTCAAAGGGACTAAACTGCGGCTCTTTTTGACAAAGCTGCAAGCTCTAGCATGCAGCATCAGGTCTCTGAGTTGATCTACCAATCCTGTGTCAGGAGTATAATGAAAGTGAACGATATTTGATAGAAACACTTGGCTTCATTACATGGTGAATTCTGTCTTTTCTATTTTTTTCTCTGAAGTTGACCATAAGACTTTTAGTAAACTTAGGTCCTTTAAGTCAGCGGTCCCCAACACCCAGGCCACATGGCTCCAGTCTGCGGCTCGCTTGGTTCTGGGCCGTGAGATATGAGACTTGGGTGTGAAACTCATGGCTTTCAGGCTTTCTGTCGGTTTTTATTGTTATTTTTTTATCGGTTTTATCGTTAACTCTCCTGGGTCTTTTCCCATGTGTTATGAATAAATCTTCTTTTTTTGTCCAATACTGGTTTTATGTTGTTGTATTTATCCACAACACCTTAAAGGCCGATCCATGAAAATATTGCCGGACATAAACAAGTCCGCGGTGCAAAAAAGGTTGAGGACTGCTGCTTTAAGTATCTCTATTCCCCACAGAATGCTAACGAGTAACGTTCCTTCAACTTTTACTGTGCAATAATTTATCAGGCTGCCTCTAAAAGTACACAACAATGTACAGTTTAGTAGACCAAAATAAAATAATTAATAATTATAATAAAATAACCCATTTATACGCTAATTGTGCAGCACACAGGAAGGACATTACATAGACATAAATATTCCACAAAACAATATATTAGTGATGATACAATGACCAAAGTAGTTGAAAGTTAACTTCAATAACACTTAAATCTAAGCATTTCAATTTCTCTTTGCCAGGTATACTATACTTTTTCATTGTGTATCTGTAGTTGGCTAATCTGAAACGACGTCAGGTTCTGTTAGAAATGCACATATGCTCTCAGGAATTGACCCGTAGCATGTTACAGATAAACATAATACTGGAATTCAGTCAAAAACATGCTGAACAAGAGTGCACATGTTGAATATATAGTGTACAATAAGTGATTTCAGTTACAGCATTATGATGAGGAAAGCTAATATCTAAACATTTGCGTCATTGACATAAGCAAGTTAGCATGCTAATGTTGGCATCCAGCTCAGAGCACTGCTCCTCACAGACTTTAGTAGGGCAAAAGAAATTTGATGAATTTAGCCAAAAACTAAAAGTTGTGATATTTTATTTACCTTTTATTTGGTGATTGGCAAAAAATAACAATAAAAATAGCAAGAAACAACCCACTAAACAAACATTAGCTTGTTTTTTTTTGAGGGAGCGTTTAGCCACATTTGACATCTGTTGACCTGACCAACGTTTTGTGGTTAAAATAAAACAAATCCATATCTTCATGACTTCAACATGGCCACATGCTCAGGATCGCCGACAGCTGTGGAAGCCACATAAGTGCACTTTTTTTTTCTTTTTTTTTTACTTGTATTGGCTATTTGGACCCAAAGATGTTAACATTTCTATACTTAGCATCAGATGAGGTCAGTCAAGAGGGCATAATCAGGTGATGGACTTGGCAGGGGGGGAAATCCACATTTTAGTGCTAAAACACTGCTATCTTTAAGCTCACAGAACTGCACGGTCATCAAATTAGAGGGACTGTGTGTAAAAATAACTTATGTTTCTATGTTGGTCAGGCAAATTGGATGTGAACACCCTCCACTGCTTTGACTCAGCACTTTAACCTCATGGCCATTGCTTCATTTCTTTTCCACTGCGCTGGAGTACATATCTAAAACAGTGAAAAGCATCTCCCTGGACAAATATTTATAGGCTCTACTGCAGCTTTACGGGACATTAGGAGGAAGAAACCAGAGAAAAGAACAAAATCACACCCGTGGCAGAGACAGCAGTACTTTATTTTTAAGGTTTGCACTGTTTGAGCTGTAGTTACTACCTAACCATTTAGTCACATGTTCCTTTTACTTGGTCACTAATTAATTCCTAAAAGTCTTCACCAGCTGACACTTTGTTTTTTACCTTCTGTTTGTATTTGTACTGTATATGTCCTACATGGGTTTATGCCTGTTGTGTAAAAGAACAAACTAAAAGAGTTTTCTTGCTTCTAACAAAGTTGTGTCTGTTCACAGTGTTGGTGTGTGTGTTTGTGTGTGTAGGGGTAGGTGGGACAGCTGCAGATGACACAGAGAAGCTGTAGATAGTGGTCACTTACACAATGATTATCTATTCATTGGGCTCTATCAGAAAACAGCCCATCAGAGATCAAACGGAGAGAACAGAAAGCTGATTAGCATGTGGTTCAGACTGAGACGGAGGGCGAGACGCTAGGGGAGACAGAGAAAATGAGAGTCTGGTCACGGGAAGCACAACGTCACAGTCAACTCAGTAAACCTTCTCGCATTCCTTCACCACTTCCACACCCTCACCCTCTGTGTGTGTGTGTGTGTGTCTGACTGAAGAGCGTGTGAGCGTCTGTCCGGCCATATATCTTGAACCATGTGACTCTACACGAGCAGTCATGCACACAGCGTGAAAAGCGCCGCTATATATAGTAGGACAGTGTTGGGTGTCCCAGTAAAGCATTGTGGGAGCCTGTTCACCTTTGTTCCTTGAGAAAGCTCTTCTTGGAATGTTTGTATACACTCGTGTGCTGCGTATAGAGAGTGCTGCTGCTCCTAATTATTTTCTATCCACCTCGAAAGGTGAAATTAGGACACATGTAGCATGTCATGTGTCGACCGTGTGACAGTAAACAACATATATTATCTGGCTGTCTTTTGGAAAAGCTATCTTCTAATCGTTTCTGTGAATCAGGTCATTGTGGGGAAAGACAATAAAAAAGAATCTGTGACAGACAACACCTTAGGCTGTCATTCCACAAGAATGCAATGGTAGTCTCATTTATAGCCTGAAGATAATTGTTACTTAACGTGTAACAATTCTGGTTATTTGACTAGTTCTAAGTTTCATGAATTAAGACTTTTTATTCAGTTTGCTAACTTTGAAGAATTCGCACTGCAAAATAACAGTAAAACTAAGTAAGCTAAGTTACACAGCGTAAAAAACTTGTTTTCATTTAACCATGATCAGCTCGACTCTCAGCTTAAAAACATTATCTATCATAAGCCCTAACTTATAGCCACGTCTTTTAGACATGATGTGTTTGTAACGAGGCTTCTCTGGTAAAAAGCTAGTCTGTCATGTAACCCCATGTTGTTGTTGGTCCTGCATCATCATTGTCATGTTGGTCCAGGATCAACAATGCTACTGACCAATTGGATTGCTGTGATGTCATTGCTTGGGAATGTGGAGCGAAAAAAACTTTTGTTTGTATAAATCTTTCTTTTATTCTTTATTAATTTATGCAACATAATAAATGTTTTAGCAATTTAGATTTGCTGTTAGCCTAATTTAGATTACTCGTGCTAGTTTGGTTGTGATAGTTTTTTATAGCATTTGCTAACTTCTTGGCTAATGCTAAGTGAATACTCTGACAACATGATTGGTCAGTTGCAATGTTGATCCTGCACCAACACTGTTATGATGATGTAGCAGGAACTCTAACGTGTGGATATCAGATTGTGCTTCTCATGTAATTATTTGAAACTATACAAATGTTGAAAACTACATCCATTAAATCTGTTATCTGTGTATCCGACTTAGGATATGTGGGTGGGGCTGGAATTTAAAGCTGCCACTGGGCAAAAGGTAGGATACACCTGAAATGTGTAAGATTAAACATTTTTAAATCCAATAAATATTTTTAGTGTTTTTTGCCGCCATTGATGGAAACTGGAATTGCTTAGTTTTAATATTACACTTATTACTGTTTCTGGGTCACAAAATAAACTTTTAAGGTGTTTTGAGGCAAGAATGTAGCTGTGTTAACTTCAAATATCTGCTCGGTTTATCAAGACATCACATATTTTCAAAAGTGCTCTGACGTTTTCGGAGACGTCCGTCTCGCTAGAGCCGGCAAGAACAGCAAACTCCCGGCACATCGTTTTCAACCCCCCCGCAGTCTTTCACTACTCAGATTAAACATAATATATAAATCACTTAGATAACTTAAAAATATTATTGTTTGACTTTTTATTGTTTTAATTGTTTGTGAGTAAATCAATTTGGCTGAGATTACAGCTGAATAAGTATCAAACGCCACGTAGACCATGAAGGCCGGGTCCTCGAGAGGATGCAGCCTATGAATTTGGACACAGCTTGTACTCTAACTAGAGGACTTGCAAAAATGGAAGTCAACGGGAAACACCTTTTTGACTCTGTAAACACTTTGTAAACCTTGGTCATACCGTGTTTCAAAATAGAGGATTAACCGACACATTGCTGGCCAATGATCAAGTGGGTTCACAGTTAGACCCATACCCATTTGTCACATTTGGATTTTTTACACCAAAATGGCAACGGCAGAAACATTCGGTCTCAAGGCTTTAAAATAGTTCTTCAGAACCCAGAGGGTGACAGCACGGTCACTACGTCTCTTCGTTATACTTTCTATGGGTCCAACACTTTGATCCAGACTAAAACAACCGTTGGATAGGTTATACTCATGTGATCCTCTGAGTCCCCTGAGTTTTTTTGTTTAGTTTTAAAGGCTACGTCCGCATGTACACGATTATTTACGTAAATAACAATTTATTTGGGTTTTTCGTACACATGTAAGCAGCGTTTGGATCACTGAAAACTGAGTTTCTGAAAGACTCCTGGCAGGGTGAATATTTTAAAACATGTAAATGCATTAAACTTCATTACTGCGTTTACATATGGACAAGGAAAACGTAAATTTTAAAACCGAAGGTATGTGGTTTGATTTCCTTTTTTGACACTAGACTGCTCTGTTATTGTTTCTGTGCTTTTGATTGATCAGCATGTCTTTGCGAGGTTACATTGCCACCTGCTTTGGCTGTTCTTGACAGCACTTGAGTTTGTTTTTAGCATTTTAATCTGGACAGAGATATTTTTCAAAACGACCTTGGAAAAATCCCCATTTTAAAAAATACCTGATTACATTTGGAGGTAGCCACAGCACCTTCATGCTGTGAAGTTTCACTGGGTGCTAGCAAGACAGTATCCGCTTCCTAAGTCTAATGTTATCATCCGTTTCTGCGTCAGAACTCTTCCTCGGTTAAAATCAATCAAACACTGAGAAACGGTCCAAATAAATCACCAATAAAATGATCATCATGACTGTTTCTCTCAGATGTTAAAGTTTAACATCCAGGCCTCCGTGAAAGATGTTTAACAAAGCTAGAGAAAAGCAGGACGTTAGCTCGCTAATTTTCATTTGAAGGTGATATAACTGAAGGATCGGGACCGAAGGACTAAGATGTACTTTTCTGCTATTGCTTTGCACAAAAAGACGGAAAATTAAAGCCCAGCTATGTTTGTAGAGTTAGTGAAGCTGGGCTAACTGCTATATATTGGTGTGGTGATGGTCAGCATAATATAAACACATTAGACACTCCATCTTCACTAGGATGAGGGTTAACTTTTTTACCCAGAATAGAAGTTAATGTGAGAGTCCCCAATGGCCAGAGACAAATGCAATCATATGGCAAGAAGATAACACCGAAAACTAACCAAACTTCAGGCAAGAGAACATTTGAGATGATTCATCCACAACACAAGGTTAGTCATTAATATCCTGCTCCGGGGTTTGGGTGACTCGCTATGAAAAATTCCTGACCCCAGGCTTTATGCCCCTACTGGCATATTACTCGGCTTGAGAGTGATTCTTTTCTGAAGTGTTTAGATGTTCGGTGCTTGCAAACTGTAATCTATGGATTAGAATTGTTTCATAATGTTTTTAAAAACTGAGCTTAAAGACATACTGCAATGGAATACTACTAAAAAAAAGCCTGAGAGGCTGATGGTGACCAATGATTATTTTTAGGGACTTCGCTATATAAAATAAACATGTTAAACCCGTTTAAACACATTAAAACAACAAACAATCCTCCATGTTTGGCCCAGAGTTGTAGCATTGATAGGGTAAAAAAATAAACTTTATTATTGTTATTTTTTTAAAGAATGGATTGAAATAGTTATGTTCCATATGTGTCAATAGTAAAATAGAGTATAAAGTATTCAAAACTAATAAAAGTAAGCTATTTAAACAATTTCACTTGGGTGCAAATGGAAGAACACAACAAACTTATAGACTAGCAACTTGTCAGTCACACTGTAAACCAAACTTTATCATCCTTTTTGACTCTAATGGGGACCATAACTTATAAAACGAGCAATGTGTTGTTTCAGGAACAACTTAAAACTAGCCACTGAAACCATAAAACTATCAGGAAGAGTTACAACCAGACATGTGTTTATAATTAAAGGCAGCACCCCCTGCTGGAAATGAGAAAGACTGCGGTGTTCACGCTGACTTTACTTTTCAGATCTGAAAATGACATCCATCTTCTATATACAGTCTATTAATTGGCCAAGTTGTTGTTTGTAATAACTTATTTATCAATAATTAACTAAAATTCGCAGGGCTTGTGACAAAAACGTATAACTGACATTGCAGCTGTGGTCGAGATTGGTAGCTGTCAGAGTTGTGCAAATTTAAAGGTGCAAAGGGAGTTCCAGCCCAGTAATCTTTGGTAATAATCAATTCCACATCGTGGGGTGGTCCACATCATGATGAAATATCTCTGCAGACAGGGAGACTTTATCCCTGGGCTTTGCCTAGCTTCCTAGAAATCAGCAACAAGCTAAACATTAACAGAATTTTGTGCACACGTTACGTCTGAGCATAGAAATGTACGGAGCCCCGCAGGTGACATGGGAGAAAAAAAAATTAAGACGAACTTTTGCGAGATCTCGCAAAACTAACTCGGGATCTGTGAGATCTCGCAAAACAAACTCAGATCTTGCAAAACTTTTGCGAGATCTCGCAAAAGTTTTAGCCGCATTCTTTGGCCTTTGACCTCCCGTTAGCTCGAAGCTAACGGGAGGTCGAGACCTACTACAGCCGGGAGGAACACCGCTTTCCCGGCACATCGTGCCTCGACCTCCCGGTCGGCTTCAAGCCGGCGTCCGAAGAATGCGGCTAAAACTTTTGCAAGATCTCGCAAAAGTTTTGCGAGATCCCGAGTTAGTTTTGCGAGATCTCGCAAAAGTCCGTCTTAATTTTTTTTTTCTCCCATGTCCGCTGCGGGGCTCCGTACCGTAGAAATGTGAGAAGGATTTGAAAGTTATTTTTATTTGTTCTGGATTTTATGACTGTATTTAGATTTGACAGGATAAGAATCCATTTCAGATATTTTTGAAGTCACATGTATCATTTAGTGATTTCTCTGCTTGTTTTTCACCGGTAGAAACAAGACCATCCTGTGGCTGTTTTTAGAACCTGGCGTACTCTGAATCCACCTTTAACAGCTTTAAGGGTCAAAGGTCAAGAAAGCCCTTTGACCTCGGTGTCAACAAAATATAACTTGGGGGGAAGATGAGACAGGGCTTTTTGAGGATGTAAGAAGCCATTGTGTTGCTGTTTGGGAGATGCATGTTTTCCATGTGTACAAAAGGGGAATGCAAATGGATAACAGAGGCATAATGACGAGTGATCTCAGAAAGATGATGTTTTCTGCAAAGCTGTTACACATTTCCTAACACTGGGGAAACGGCCAATGGTCGAAGGGGAAAAAAAGATCTTCACAATGAGACACAGTGTCTCAGAGCAAACGCAGTGGCCAAAATTTCAGAGGACTTGCTCATGAGCGAGGGTCCGCCCAGCTCCAGCGCAGGTTGCCTCGGGCTGGCAGGTTGCTCCACTGCAGTGTGTGTGTGTGTGTGTGTGTGTGTGTGTGTGTGTGTGTGTGTGTGTGTGTGTGTGTGTGTGAGGAGTTTTTCCTCCAGAGTGGGCAGGGCCGCTGGTGCTAACATATGTAGGCTCCACAGGGGTCTGTGACGGCACACACCGTCTATCTGGACAATGCATCCATCATTAACCTCCCCGCATCTCTGTCTCGCTGCATTTCAATCGGCCTCCATCACCGCGCTTGCTGGATCTCACACTCATCTCTCCCACTCTCTTTGTTTGGCCCCACGTTATCTTCATCCCCTGCTGTCCATCTCCCTCATCCTCCTCCCTGCATATCCCTCGCTTTCTCTTTTCTCTCCCCCTGTGGCCTGCTTTTCATCTCTCCCTCTTACCCCTCCTCTTCCTCCCCCTTCTCTCTCTCTCTCTGCCCTTCACCATGCCCCCCCCCACCCCACACACACCTCCTCCTCTCCCCTTCACCCTCTCCCTGTATCCGCTTTCCACTCCCTCCTCCTCTTCCTCCACCTCCCCCAACTCTCTCTCTCTCTCACAGCCCTCCTCCGCCTCTCCTCTGTCCTCCGTTCAATGCCCCCCCTCCCTCCTTTTTTTGCTCCTGCCATCTTGCAGGCCAGTGGAGCCAGACTGCAGGCGTTCAGGGAGTCACTGGACCTGCTGCAGGCCAAGCGGGGTGTGTTTCTGTTGGTGTCGTGTGTCTGTCTGTGTGTGTGCGCGTCTGTCGTGTCTGTGTGTGTGTCTGTGTGTGTGTGTGTGTGTGTGTGTCTGTGTGTGTGACCAGGAGGAGGAGCGGGGTGGGGGGATTAAGCTCCAAATCACTAGAAAGGCACTGAAGAGAGGGGGGGTGAGAAAAGAAAAAGCTGCAGATCCAAGAATATGAAATTCTCCCTTTGTCTGGGAGATGAAGAAACACTAGACTGTGGACTCAAAACTAAAAGACTGCGTGTTTCTCATTCAGTGGGAGCGTTGTAATTGCATGATGTTGGAGCTCGCTGCTTTTCTCCATGAGTTGGCAGTGTCCTGCGTTGGCTGGCGTGCAGTGCTTTCCCTCTCTCTCTGTCTCTCTCTCTCCCTGCCTGACAAACACACACGCACACACACGCGCACACACACGCACGGACGTGCACATCCCCCTCCTGCCCCCACCCCCACAGATGCACACTCACATACACGCACACACACACACAGTCCCTCTGCGATCCCCCCTGACTGAAGGCTCACAGGAAGTGCAGCCGTGGCCCAATTATAGCGTGACACCTCGGGCCGGCCGTTGCCATGGTTACGTCTTCCCTGCGGTCCCCTGGAGTGTGGCGCCGAGGAAGAAGGTCTTATCACATCAGCCATCGTTACGGCAACAAGCAAAAACCCACCCTGTAGCCTCAGCCCAGCTGGCTGTGTATTCGGCTTGAAATCTGCCCCCCCCCTCATCTGTGTGTGCGTGTGTGAGAGATTTATATATACATACGCGGAATATTTTAAAAAAAAATGGAAATTGTGTGCGAGGAAGAGCCCGAATGTTTGTGATGATTGTGTGTGTCAGGTTAGGTGTGCTCAAGTGCACGGACTGGACTTGCCAAGGCAGCGTGTAGGTGTGTTTGTGTGTCTGTGGGGTTGTGATAAGGCTCTCAGCCACACCATTAGGTGACTCATAATCCACACACAACCTCGCACACACACAGGAGCACATGTGTGCGCAAGCAGAAACAAGGTTGCAAACGGACACATACGCCCAATTACAAATGAGTGCACACACACACACACACACACACACACACATAAAGACGTAGCATAGAGCTTGTAGACGAGTGCACATGGCAAATTTCTTTTATTTCAAAAGGGCAAACAGCGCTATACAGTACAAGTTGCACATGAAATAATTTAGCCGAGGCCAAACTCATTCACTTCTTACTGATGCAGTGACGTCAGAACAACAGAAACTCCCCTCGTTAGAAACAAAACATTTGGCTCCTCTTTACCTTTGAAGCACAGTACATCCAAACTGGAAAGCAACGTAAAAAAAAAGAAAAAAAAGAAAAAGGAAGAAGAAGACATAATGTTTTCCAGATATTTACAGTCTATTTACAGAATTTTTGTCATCATCTGAATATTGACAAACATTGGTATCCTTCTTTCTCGCCTCTCCAATTCTCTGATTGTCAAAATGGATGGGAACGTGTGTGGACATTCTTAAACGGGAGCTGCAGCTCCGCACGAAACACAACATCTTTGAACGTCTCTGACAGTCACAGTCCGAGCATGTTAACAGGGTGTCCTGTGGGTGAGTGTGTGTTGGTGTGTGTGTGTGGTTTTGTAATTTTTGTTTTGTTAAAACTGCAGCTCCTCAACAATCATCCAACCGGGAACCTCTGACAAATCCTGCCACCGCAAGCGTTACTATCCGTCCAAGGCTCCATTGCTTCTCTCCTGTGCCAGACCCAAAGTAAAATCAGACCCCCTCAGATCAAACCCAGACACTCTGCTCTCAAACCCCGGCCCCCCGGGCTTCCTCTTCAGCTCCTCACACTTCCTGTATTTACAGATCTGGTGTCCCCTCTTGCGATTGCGGCAGCTGCTGCACTGTTCGCAGTTCGTCTGACGCCGGCACGGTACGCACTCCCCGCACCTCTTCCTCTTCCTCCTGCCTCCGCTGCTCCCGCCCAGGGAGCTGGGAGAGTATCCTTCGGCCACCAGCCCCTCTATGCCCTCAGCTCCCATGGCCGTGCTTCTCCAGTGACCTCCCCCCATCTGGAAGCCTGCCAGGGGGAAAAGAGCGGGGCTGAAGGGGAACCAGGCACCCAGGAAGGGCTGGAAGTCAGTGCTGCATGCAGAGGAGTCCTCTTCCTCCTCCTCAGGCCCGGACCCACCTCCCTCGCCGTCTCCCTTTCCGCTCTTTGCCTCTGCAGCCTCCCTCTTAGCTGGCTGGCTGCTCTGTGCGCCCAAACTGGCTTGCTCTGTGGTGGCAGGGGTGAGAGCCAGAAGCCCAGCGCGCATCAGCAGCTCCGCAGCGTGGGCCAGGTGGAGCCCGCTGGGCGACTCCCACATGTCGGGCCAGGAGGGGGCCCGGCGAGGCTTAGCGTGGCCGGGCTGGGTGGCCCGTTGCTGAGATGAGGAGGGCTCCATCAGGCTTTTGACATCCACGGCCGGGGAAGGGGTGGAGATGTAATGGGAGAGGCTGTAAGGGTGGTTAGAGCGCTTAAGGCTTGGTCTCAGTGGCTCATTGGGGATTTTAGCACTGCTGTGGGCCTGATCCGGGGAGGAAGGGCCAGCAATGTCTACCGCGGTGGACATAGCTGGCTACGGGGAGTTGTCTGTCCTTGTGTGAGTATGCGTGCGCGTGTGGGAGGAGAGGTGAGGGAGAAGGGGATTGAAGCCGATGCAAGGCTGACAACTGTCCTGCTGTTACTTCAGCCAAAATGGCAAGCCTTGGCCTGTGTCCCTATTCCCATTCTCTGCAGCAGCCTCGGAGTCCTGGAGAGCTAGAAATGAATAGGGGATGAAGAGAGGAAGGTTAAGAATAGAAATGTTGGAGTGACAAACACAGAAAGAGAGTTACGAGGAAAGAAGGGCTGGGAGATATGTTCTCAGTCAGAGCCACCAAACACAGAAGCAGAGTGCAGAGATTCGGTGCTTAAAGACAAAAATATAACATGCATGTGCACAGGCTCAGAAATCAAACTCCCCGGACAGAGATGAAGGCAGCCATGTATCTGACACACACTGCATGCTTGCCAATGATTTCCGCATACAGGAGGCAGTATCCCTTTAAGAATTTCACGGTATATCAATGCAATCAATAACAGAGCGACAACAATATGCAAAGATATGCGCATATGCGCAGGTCAAATGTGGAGCGCGCTTTTCAAATACATTTTGACGACTGCTGTTATGTGTGCCAGCCAAAGCTTAAGCTCAGCAGAGAAAGACTAAATAAGGGACGCCGGGGGAAAAAAACAGGCTGTCTTTTGTCTGCTATCGACGACGAGGAGCGAGGTGCGCAACGATGCGGTTGCTGTGGATAAAAAAAGACCAGGCTATTTTCCGTGTCCACATTTGTAGAAAAACTACTCCGCTGATTAAACACGGGAGATGGGTGTTATTACAAGACCGGCCAATCGCCCCCTTTGGCGGATCGATCGGGAAACCAGATCGATCATTTGGCCGTTATTAAGGTTACCTAAGAAGACGGTGCTCGACCGACGCCACGGCGAGCTGACCACAGTCCGAGTGGTCGCTGCGACACGGCGCTGCGCGCAAGAAAAAAGGCGACAATACAACACGGCGAAAATCAACAGGAAGTGTCGAGAAAAGCTCCCCGCTTACCTTACAAACACGACCCGAGCTCTCCTGTCAAAGATATGATGAAGTCATGAACTAATGGCGTGGTGATTGTAGCGTATATGGACGGCGGAGCAGCCGATTCCTCCTCCACCTCTCCGTCCCGGAGGGTCTGCAAACACTCTGCACGGAATTTGGGGGCGTCGCTCAAAATGCGAAGTGGACTCTGCAGTCGAGGCTCTGGTCAGAGCGACCCCGTGAAAAGTCCACAGAAGCAGATCAGCACACACCGTTAGCTGGCAGCGGGAATACTAAGGCGAATCAAGGCCACCGGTCACACGCAGTCAACAGCACAACTGAGACACATGTAAAAAATTATGTAAACACCGGGCACACTTATAATTTACGCTCGTTATGTTTTCTCTACTAGAAATTCTTGTTAGGCTCTTACATATATATATATATATCTATATATAATTATGCCTTATTCAGGCCTGTGGAAAGCCCAGTTTATTAATTATTCCTGTTTGTCCTTTTATAAATCTTTAAATGTATTCAATCAAACTTTGCTATATTAAATGTTCAGTAAAGTAGCTGAAAACTCTTAAGCGTTTACTGTTTGTGCAGTCCAGGCTTCGCCTACTTATTTTAACATAAAAAAATGCTCTTATTTAAAAAAACAAGACAAAAAAAAAATCCAACCAAAACAACTCTTCCCCTTAAAATGGATTTAAATACAGATTTACTGTTTATTTTTTTACCGTCTGAACTGGTGTTTTATCCACACCGGAAGCCAGCGCCGTGACCTTTCATACATAAAAGCACACTGTTTCGGGTTGTGGTGTCACACACGGTGGATGTAAATAAATATCAAAACAAACAGCTACAAAATAAAATGATATTTTTACAGGTCACTCGGAAAACAGGAAGAGCCCTGTGAGCTAAATTAGCCTGTTTAACATAAATAGCCTTTATGCTAATGTCCGTCTGCTTTGAAGCACGTGAGCTCGCTGTCTGTTAAAGGTGACTCCTCACGCGGGGACGGCGGAGTCCACTCCACCTCTTCTGAGAGTCCTCCGTTGCATCTGGCACGCAGCCAGATACCTCGTGCGTGCGTGTCTATGTGTGTGTGCGAGCGCGCGCACGTGTCACTATGGGAGCAGGGGCCCACCGTGTTCGCGTACACTGCTGTCTGTCTGGCCTGGGCGATCCGTGTAAACACAGCGTCTTCTAGCGGTCACCGCAAATACTGCTCCGTCTTAAAATGGCCACTGGTGTCGGTGGACACTGCAGCACGGGAGCCCCCCTCACTTCCGTCTCTCCCACACAAATCACAGCCCCGATCCCACCGCAGTCACACACACGCACACAGAGCTGTTTACTCATTACCCCCGTCCTGCGTTAATCCATCAGCACAGCGCTGTGACACGCGTTCTGATCTTGTGGTGGAAAAAGGCGAACGAATGCAGTGGGAGTGTGTCCTGAAATGAATAAATGAAGCTTTCAAATTGGGTCACTCAAGTTTTATTCACAATGTACAGAACAATGAATCAAACCAGACACCCCGCAGCCAGTAGAAAAATCAACCTGCTGAAACGGCAGAATATATGCTGCTGAACACTTCACAGATTCAACACAAGTTTTCCCAGAAAGCCACAGGAACTGGTTACAAGAAGACAGTTTCAACAGTTCATTAACAACAAACTAAACTTCTACCTCCTCTGACTAAAGCAGCAAAACAAACAAAACAATGTGTGTTAACATTCATGTAGGGTTGTGTGAGCGTTTGGATTCTGGTTTAGATTTAAATTTAAGGCCTACGCTTCAGTTCACCGAGACGCTGGACTGACTGAAGGTCTCGTCTTTCAGCCACCTGCCCCACAGCCAGAGGAGGCGGCTGAAAGGACACCAAACATGAAGGCACAATGCCCGCACGGGGAAATATTTCACCTTTATCAGCCCCAGTGAGAACTTTAAACAAACGGCACATTAAGTAGGTCATTCTGCGAGCTGCAGTCATAGTGCCACCATATCTAACTTATCTGTCCTCAAATGACCTTTGATTTCAAAGTCACACTAAGCAGTGTCAGAGCAGTGTGGCCAGTTTGATATTAAAACTATGTTTTTCTGTTACGGGCAAAGGACAATGCTCAGAGTTTGGACTGAACATATCAGCGTCATACTGTAATCATCAATCAGTGTGACACGGCAATGAGAATGACAGATGATCGGGCCGGGCGTGCGAGGAGTCAGGGAGGGCCGAGTTCTCCGGTGGCTCAGATTACGCGTCCTTCTTTTTGATGATGAGCGGTCCAACGTTGTCCCCGGTTTCCTCGTTGTGTTTAGTGTGGGAACCATCGCAGTAAGGGAACTGCAGGGAAGAGGAGAAACGACAACAGAATTCACTCTTATCAGTCATATGAAGAGAGTCTGTTAGCCACATATGAGTTCACGCTAACAGCAGTTTGAAACCGACTAAGCATGGAGGGCTGTCAGAGGGTAACTTTCAGCGCAGGTCAGGGATGTTAAAGATGGTCACATCCCATTACCAACTGGGATGTGATCAGCACAATATGTGTCAAACCGTGACCTGTGACTGCAGAAAGCTAAGCAGTTTTGGACCTTTGTTAGGTTTACCTGCAAGCTTAGAAAGCTCAATGACTGTTACTTGAAGTTTAAGCTAAAGGACATTTATCGCTGCCTGGGGACCAACCTTCTTTGACTTCCAGCAGCGGCAGTACACGGCCTTGGTGGCGATGTCCTCCATGTCAAAGCTGTGGACCACTTTAGGGCTGTCTTTGTTGATGCAGGTGTTCACTTGGCCCTTTTTGCAGCTCCGCCTGTTCAGGTACTGGCTGACGAGGAAGCCTCCGACAGCTGCAACCACCGCCACCGGCACGGCAACCAAAAAATGCTCTGAAAAAAGACAAATATGATAAGGACTTTTATGTAATGTCTTAAACAAGTGATCATAACTGTCATTTGAGGCAACATCATTTTAGTCATCATTTCAGCCTGTCGGACCTAGTGGCATTAACAGTTTCTCGGTTCTGAAAGGGTTTATGCTAGAGTAGTTTAGGCCTATTCTTAGAAAACCAACAAGCAGGTATGTGGCGGTGTTTTCCAAGGCCAGGAGTGGCGAAATTTTTCCAAGCCATGGAGGATTATCTGCCGAGTACTGAGAATCACATGTTTCAGAACAGGAATGTGGGCCCTGCTGTCAGACCTGATCAGCAACTTCTGTGAACTTCTGCTTGGCTAGAGCGGCGGGAAGCCGGGCATACGGAGATAGCGTTTAGCTGTGGCCCACACTGAGTGAAGTCTAAAGTTGGAAAAATTAACCCGTGTCCAACTGGGTTCAGTGACCAGCTAACGGCGCCATGCCAGAAGAAGGGGAAAAGTTTACAATGCAACTACAAAGTCTATATAAAAATATTTGAGTCTTTACGTTACTATTAAACGCGGTAGCCTCAATACAACCACACAGTATCCTACAGTTTTTTCTACAACACTGTCGCAGACCCGCTAACGGCTAACAAAACACTCATACAAGGCTAGCATGCTATTAGCCAGCTTTAATACTTTACCTTTAGTTAACCTGAAACCCGAGCTGGGTAAGTCGGGTATCGGAGGCATTGGCATTGCAGGTAAATGGGTGGCTGACATGTTGGGAGTTTTTTTTTTTTTTCCTCCTTGGACGGTGTACTGTATGTGATCAGCGCTCAGCAGCAAGGTCAACCACAGAGCTTATCAAAACTCTATCCACTCTGACAGCGCACCGAACCTGCTGCGTCACTGCCCACCAACCAATCAAAACCGAGGAAGAACGAAGCTCGACAAGGGTAAGAGCGTAACCCCCATACCATTTCCGGCTTCGCTTTAGCGCTCTTTGAAGTTGGAATTGCCGTGATGAGTAAAACGTTCCAGAAATAAAATAAATAAATATTACGTTTTATTTTAAGTGTATTTGTTAAAACTCTTCACTATCGGGTCCATAGCCAAAAGATAAATAAAATTCCACTGCCTGGCAAATTTTCCTAACGGCGGATAATTATCTTGACCACTGCGAGCTTTGGTGAGTCCCATTTCCTTTACAGGTCACTGGCTTAAAAAAAAGAAAAAAGGAGGGGGGGGGGTTGAACATAACACCTTTGACTCAAAATAATCCCCATTTATAGATTTACAATGCTTAAATATATAAATTATAAAGTTTTACCAGTCAAAGCTTTTAATTTAGCTGTGACAGAGCTGGAAGGTCTCCCAACTTTTAACTACTTTACATACCACCAGAGGGCGACAAATGACCTTTTCTAAAGGCTTGACTGGACTCTACAAGCGCCCAAGAATTATGTAATTTCAAAAGCTTTCAAGTCTTGTATTTTTGTTATGCTCCCCAGTATTCACAGAATTCTGTGGAATAGAGGTAACCATAAAAGAATGAGGTAATTGCTCATCTTATTTATCCTGTTAGATTTCTGCAGAACTTCCTCTTAACTGCATTCAGATGTTGCCAACCTGCCTCTGTATGCCTTCTTCAAAAAGAGGCTGAGTATGAGTCAACACAGGAGTCGAGGGTTTTTATTACACAGTTTAATCAACACACAAAGCTCAACGAGCCTCTCAGGTAATTCAATATACAGAGGTTTTGTGCAAGAAGAGTGGGTTCTCCTCGCACCCAGAGCCCAAGCCAGTCCCATAGCCATTTAAGATGTTAGCCTCTAATTTAACAATAGCAAAAAAAAAAAAACAAACAAAAAAAGAAAGATAAAAGCAAACTAAAGAATTATGGGGTGGGAAATAAAAACACAGGTTAAACTAAGAAAAAAAATGAATTGCTTAAATACCTGGTCCAGAACCTCCACTTTTTGTGAATAAAGAAACTGTGGTGGTGAGGGTGACATGGGGGTTACAGTTGTGTGTGCATGTGTGTGCGTGTGTGTGTGTGTGTGTACAAAGGGGTCAACTTGGGTGAGGGAAGATTGGGGGAGGGAGGAATGAGGAGCAGGAGGTGTGGGGATAAATTCAAGTCCTTTCATAGAATCCAACAGAAGACCAAAAATAGGCTGCGTGTAATTTTTTTCCATGTTACATAGCCTTGTATAAAACACAGAGTGCCCTTTGACTACTTCCTTGAAATGTCACTCCTACAGATGGAAATCATTAGGACAACAAAAACAAGAAAGGGTGCAGAGTGTAAAAATCCCTCCATCTTACTGTCCCCTCCCCCTCAAAAATGAAATTAAACTGGAAGATAATGGGGGAAGAAAAAGGTCCCCTCAAAGCTTGACTGGTGCTTAAAGGAATGCTTTTAGTGATGGTGGGTGAGAATGCGGGCGTGCAGGGAATAAACAGGGGA